GTTTAGCCTATCTGACTGCCTCATCGCCAAGGCTGAGAGCCTTTTCCAGGAACTACAGTTCATAGGCTGTGGCACACGTGAGAAACCTTCGTTGCTCTTTGGTTTCTGTCTCTGACTTCAACTTACTTAGCTTGGGCTTGGGATGTCAGCGTGCAGCTCGTGCAGCAGAGCCGGCTCTGTGCGCTGCGGTGGCTCGCAGCTCCCACCAGCCAGCCTTGCGCCGTGTGGGAGGGGGCTGCGGGCCTTGCCGGGGCAGGAGGGTGGCAGGACGCGCTGCGTGATGGGAGCAGAGGTTTGGAGATGGGCAGTTAAATAGGCTCTCTTGGGGAGAAGGTCTGTTTCCTAAATGACACTTCTCGGGGATCCACGGTATCCATGACTAGCCGTGCCTCGCAGTCTCTTACTCCTCTGCAAGGAGGAATGTGATTTCTGTCGTGTTTCCCTTTAGAAATAGGATGTGTAAGACTTTTAATCATTTTCCCTCTCCTGGTATATTCTCCTCCTTCTCCTTTCTAGTGATTCAGTGCTCTCACTCTTGAGAGCTGCATCGCTTGTGGAAGATGGCAGCTGTTGATCCTTGCTCCCAAGAATTACACTAATTTTTAGAAATACAGTAGGCTCAGCATTTTGAAACTTTTCAGTTTGCTGGAGTTTTATTTTTTTGTCCCACTTGTTAAAGCAAATTTGGTACTTAAAGGAGGATTATCTTGATACGTGTCAATTCTTAGGCTCTAGGTTCCCAAACTAATGTATACAATAAATTCAAAAAAGTATGCTCTATCTTTGAATATTTATAGCTGTTGCTGTGTTTATGGTGTTTGTCTGATACTAAGTTCTTAATTTCTACGTTTGCTGGAATCTCTGTCCTTCCTACGTACTGGCAACTGCTAGCTCCATCTTCTCTCGTATGACTCACGGTGGTACTGAGGGAAGGTGCCTGCCTTGAAGCCATGGCAAGTAAGTGCTGGAGAGACCTGTTGATTCAGACAGCAGACACTGAAGTGACCGATTTGCTAGAGTGATTTTCTCAGGGTATTTGCTTGGACTGGCAATCAAATGCTTCCTTGGTAGCAAATCCTGTTTCAGATAAACCTTTGTATTTTACTTTTCGTTTGGATTAGCTCTTCCCATGGAGACCTAAGCTCAGCCATGCTGGCTGCCGTCCTGCGCACTGATGCATGCTTTCATCCTAGCCTAGGAAATCTGAAGGAAGCCACACTGGGTGGGGTACATGGAAGTTAGGTGCCAGGTGCCAGGCTTAATGCTTCACCGTTCAGCCGTAGCTTGCATGCAGACGAGGATCTCCCTGTGTCTTCCAAGTTCTCTGAGCATGTCCTAAGTCGGGACACGTTTGCCTGTG